CAACAAGGAACCCTCCTCTTGTAATCTCCTATTTAAGGAGACGCTATTATTGAATGAGGATATCGAATATTCAGTCAAAAAAGAGAGTAAAGGAGAGTTCGGTGATCTCTTGGACAAATCACCCCTGAGATAGTCAAAATAGGGCCTGTATGCAAGGCCAAGGGCAAGGAAAGATCTGAGGTTCCTGCGGTGGAGCGACCCGTGACGCGATCCTACACTCGGGCCCATAACACAAATACTTTTTTTTTCAATTTATTTAATCATATAAATTGCAAAAATAAGACATTTATGATCAACTGCATAGATTACTACATAAATACATAGGGGTGCCAATGGTATTAGAAAGTCTGATTTCGAATTCAAGACTCAACATAATCGAATTGAATTCGGATAATTCGACTATTTAATCAATTGAATTCGGATGTGACCTAATTCGATTCGGTAAATATTCAAATTTGGTTGATTATTTAAGTCTTATATATAATATATAATATATAAAATATTTAAATGTTTTATATAATATATATATATATAACAATTAAATTATATAAAGAATTTATATATATATATACTTTATATAAATAAAATATTTATTTTATATATTTACTAATTACTTAAAATATTAACTAGTTGAATTCAAAACGAATTGATTCGGATATTGTCTTATTCCATTCCTTAATTGGATTTTCATGAATTCATTGATCTGAAAGGTATCGTAATATGAATATGATATTTATTTGGGAATTTGTAAAACAATGAAAGATAAAATAGACATTTCAATCTATTTCATCAACCAATCGTATTTATTTGAAAATTTGAAAAAGAATGAAAGATAAAATAGACATTCAGTATTTTTCGTCAATGTTTGATGAAGATACAATTGCCAAAAAAACCTAGAGATTCAAGAGGTTGTGCAAACGGTTACTTAGTCCATTTCTAAAGCGTAGGGGCAGGTAGGCAAAACAAAAGAAGAAATCGCTTATTTATACATCCCCATCAGCTTGTTCGCGTGCTTGATCACGGTGAAAAATGGGGAAGGTGTTTCTACTTTCCTGATATTCGGTTCAACAAACCATTAATAATATAGGGCCGTTTGGTAAGTCTTTGAGAATATCTTCTCGTGGCTCTGATAGTCAATAGATGTATTGAGTTTTTGACATAAGGGTAGCCCGAAAATCATTTGGCAGATGTGCATCTTTTTGTGCATCATTTCGGGTCTTTCTGTGCAAGATTAAAATACAGAAGATACGGAAAGTTTCATTTGGAGCTTCTCAAAATCAGCCAAAAATGGGCCTTCCGCACTTTTTCGGTGCCCCATCTTTTGGCGGTGAGATCTTTTGCATACCAAACGGGAATAAAACGATTTTCATCTTCCCAGCTTGTAAGCAACCGAAAGACCGTGCGGTAAAACATGCCAAACGGGGCCATAGTTTCCAGTCTTCCACTGATCGATAACACCAATCAGATTAAATAGATTGCTTGTTCCACCTTATGCTTTCAATAGATTCATCCTTCCCACTCCTATCACAACAACCTAGTAGCAATCAGCCAGATTAAACAAGAAATGGGTCTCGACTCTGACTGAAAAACCCATTTCAACTCAAACCAACCATAGAGGAAGAAATTATCATTCTTCCTCCCCCTCTACTTCTTCCTCCGGATCTTCTCTTCTTTCTTTGTCTGTTTTGTCCTGTTTTCTGACTTTCTCCCATCGTTTCCACACAGATGGATCGAACCAACTTCACCAAGTTGGTTTTCCCTGTATCGATCAATATCATAATCAGCATCATCTTGTTCAGCACCCTGGTACGAAAAACTCAATCAGCAGACCCAAAATTCGAAGATTATGAGCCTCGAAACTGTGGGAAAGGTCCAAACATAAGCTACCCGTTTTGGATACCTTCTCTCCAGAAATCTTATTGCGGATACCCAAACTTTGAGATCACCTGCAAGAACCGGCAGCCCGTCCTGAACATGTCCGACGATGATTACCTCATCAAAGATATCTTCTATGGAAATCATTCTCTTTTGGTGGTCAATGCGTGGGCATTGGGGAATGAAACCTGCCCAGCTCCTCTGCACAACTTTACCCTCGATCGCACTCCCTTTGAGTTCGGCCCAGATCACTTGGAACTCTTCTTCCTCTACAACTGTACTGCTTCTGCTCCTGCATCTCATTTGACATTCTCCGTTACTTGTTTTGACAATAATACCTATCATCACTCCTTCGCAACAATTGGGCATGAGTGGCAGTTGGCATGGCTGAATTCGTCTCTTGGGACATGCAGCGATTTTGTTACTGCTCCTATAGACATGGATTATTTTACAAATACAGAGAGAAAGGACTACAGGGAGTATTTGAGGAAGGGGCTTCTTCTGGAATGGACTGCAAGTAATTGCAGTACATGCGAGGAGAGCGGCAGGCATTGTGGCTTCTATAATAAAGAAGTTGTGTGTTTCTGTCAGGACGGGAGGTATCGCCTGAGCTGCAGTGGCGGTAAGCCCATCGGAGATCCCTGATTTTGTTTTTCAATTATCTTCGAGTATTTCCCTTTAAGCATTATATTTACGCATGTAGAAATTGCCTGGAGAAGAAACAGAGAACAAGAGGTCTCTCTCTTCTTTCCTTCCTTTTGCTTTTCTGATCTTAGTTTGCAGCATTCAGCTTGGAAATTTGAATTGTGAATTAGGAAGTTCAAGGACTAGAGGGCTCCACTGGGTGGCGCATCAGCGAACTGCTAAGTGATTCCTCCCCCTTCAATCAAATTTTGGTCCAGATATTAGCTCCATGTGAAGAAATTAATATCTGATACAGAGAACCATTCCCTGGTTAGAAAAGACTTCTGTATCATAGGTCTAATTCTTAAAAGGGGGAAAGTTGGTAAATGGGGTTTTGGTTTTCATTTACTAAGAATATTATATTCTTTTTTTTTAAAATTAATGTGGAACTAGGTGTGAGTAGTGTCGTAAGGGGTTTCCTTTAAGGACGAAAGAAGACTGAGGGCCAAGGGTAGGTTAAAGGCTCTGATTGACAAAATGGTAGAGGGAGAGATCCCGAAAGAAAGGAACTAAAAGGGTTTGATTCCCACTACGAAAGGGAATCTTTGATTCGGTATCGGTTGTCAGGGGGATACCGCTAGGGTTTCGCCACGTGTTTTATAAGATATCTTAAGGACGATGTTTCCTTTTATCTGAGGATTCTCATAATACAGGTAGGCTACTCCTTTTGCGAGTCTCATAGGCCAATGTGGCACGGATGACGTCAATACTAATCTTACATGTTCTTTCTAATCTTATTGGGCATTCTATCATGAGGGATGCTGGTGAATCACGTGTTTCTTTGTTCGTCTCTAACCTATGGTGGATGTGAGCTCATCACAGGTTTGCGATGGCTCTAAGCTCATTGTAGACTCACGGTGGCTTTGAGGTTATCGCAGTCTCGCGATGGCTTTATGTTCATTGCAGGCTCGTGGTGGCTCTAAGTTTGTTTTCGGTGTTGCGGCTTTGGGTCTATTGTAGACCTACGATGGCCTTGAGCTCATCGCAAGCTTGTTTTAGGCTCCGAGTTTATTGCAAGCCTGTACAAGCTCAGAGTTCATCGCAGGTTTATGCTTGAGTCTTGAACTTATCACAGGTACCTTTATGATATCGGTTTAGTACTTTTTGCGCTACCATGATTGTGATAATCAATATCAGTTAAGGATAATACCTTTTTCATTTGGAAAAAAGCTAGTTAGAGTTAAATGGAACAAATAGATTTTTTACTTAAATGATTACTGAAAAACGAACGGGCCTAAAAGTAGTCAGCACAAGAATCTGCCTCATGGAATGTCTTTTATCTCTTCCCTCGATTACAGCATTTTCCTTTCGGTACATACAATTACTACACGTGCTAAAACAGACTTTTGGTGTACCCGTAACCCGTTTATTGCACCCTCCTGCTTCCTTTCTTTCTGTGATATTTTGGGTAGCATTTCTCAGCTTTGACCTTTACCAAAGAAAGAAATAGCAGCCCTTTGCCTTGTATTAGGGTCACCTCAGTCATTTGCCTTGGCCGTCCGGTTTCAGTGTCTACGTGTAGCCATTTGGACCATATGTAGTCGGATGGAACTCCCCCAGATAGAGACGGGCACAAAGTCAAACTGAACCCTTATGATCTTTGCATCAAGCATCTTTAGGTGATGGTCATTAATTTCAAGTATTCCACAATCAACAGTTGAATATAAACCCGTTACTTTGAGCATTGAAGTCAATATTTAAGGCAGAGAGGGGCCACTGTGCTCCATTGAAGAAGCTTGGAGTCCACGGACCACTGGAGGTCAAGCCAAGAGCACACCAAGAACTTCCGAAAGAAAAAGATCCGTCAAGCCTACCCCTAAGATTCATCGCCCATCACCACCCTTTCTATCTTCACTTCTGCACCTATAATTCCCTTCACTCCTTCCTTATCATCTCTCTCTCCCCATCTCTCTGCCTTTCCCAAATGAAATTCAAAAAACTCTTCATGTTCAGAATCTCCTTCCTCGTCTTTGTACAAAATAGCTTTCTATTACTATTACTAATAGAAAGGGTTCTTTGCGTTGACCCACGATTCGGAACTTGCAAGCCTCAAATCTGCGGGAACCAGAACATAAGCTATCCATTCTGGATCAATGACACTAAGATACTACCTGATTACTGCGGCTACCCAGGCTTTGAGATTTCCTGCAAGAGCGACAAGCCTATGCTCAAGATCTCTGGGAATGATTATATGATTCAAGAAATCAACAACCAAACCCAATCTGTTAGGGTCACGTACCAAGGKGCTGCAGAGGATTATTGTCCATCTCCACTTTATAACGTTAGCCTGGATCGAACTCCCTTCGGATTTGACTACGACCACGCTTATCTCTTCATCTTCTTCAATTGTAGCTCTCTTCTGGATGATGCATACTCACGCTACAGGATAAATTGTACACCCCATGATTACACCTTCTCTCCTTTGACCTTATTTGAGGGGGATCCGGAGTTAAACTCTTCTTACTTGTTCCAAGAATGCGACAAGTCGGTATTGGCACCGGTTGAGAAGGAAATTGGGGATGGAATATTTCCGGGTAAGATGTACCAGGAGATTTTAAATAAGGGGTTTTTGTTGAGATGGAATGCTGCCAACTGTAGTGATTGCTTAGAAAGCGGGGGGCAATGTGGATTTGACTGGAAAGCATACAAGTTCAATTGTCTCTGCCGCGATCGCCCTCATATGAAGAGTTGCCTAGAAGGTAAGCCTCTGATCTCTTTCGTTTTCCTAGGTAGACAGACTCTTACATCTATTGCGAGTTCACCTTTTGCTATCGTCACTCCCTTCGGAGTTCGGAGTAGTAGAACATGCCGTCACTGAGGACATGTGTCGAATAGAGGAGCGGCATTGCCAATAAATGAGATGGCAATAGCAATGCCCTTCCTCACTCATTCTATTTTATATTCGTTATGGTTTTTATTGGTTCTCATTCGTTTTCCCATTTGATCGCTAAGATGGTTTCCATTTTGGGCTTTACATTTTTCGTCGTACAATTTGCACTATTTTCCAATATCAAATTTGTGCTCTATTGCTCTCCTGTCCAACACGCTTTCCGGCACGAGACATCACAGAAATTGTCATTAAAATGTTACAGTAGTACGAAATCAAGCACTGAACCAAGATTCGACCGGCGGCTAGCGTTATGTCAAAAGAAAGGGGATTTTCACACCAAGGTCTGCTTCCTGGACCTGGCCAATCAGCAAAATCTCTTGAGTCCTGGTTTTCCTACCCATAAATATCGAGCCTGAACCTGAAGCGTGGTCCGTCGCGTCAATTCGCTGTAGACTTTTCCCTCCAAAGTCCAAACACCTGAGTTTCCTAGAAGAAGAATTTGGGTAAAAATCGTCCACCAATCACATAACTTTGTTTCTAGGATTCTGCATTATAAAAGATTCGATAGTCACAATTCCTGTGCTGGCATCCCAAGAACCTTTTATGTTTGGAACATGTTTGAAGGCTGCTGCCCTGTTCTTCCCTTCTGGTGAGAGAATTTGCCTTTAAAAATTACAAAAGCTCTTTTTGTCAAAAGCGAAATCAGGCAGAAGGTTCAGAGTGGAGGAGTCATGTGTAGTAACCCAGTAAAGTATAGAGTCTCCAATTTCCATTGGTTCCAACACTTTTCATTTAAATTTTTAAATTGACTCTTTTTGCCGAGTTTAGCTTCAGTCAGGGCAAAGCCCATTAGAGCAACCTTTACAGCCTTGCATTGATGCTTTATTTCATGGAGATATTCCCAATGACGGTTGGAATGGTATGGCCACGGGTGCCCTGAGGGAAGCCGATCTTTTTGCCTCGAAACATTCCTCTACTCTACCCATAGTTGGAACTTGGAAAATCATGACCTTTCATTGTTTGAACTTTGAACTAGGAACCCTTTCATTTAGACAACTATGAAAATTGTGAGGGCTTATGAAGACAAAATTAGGAGATCAAAACCTACACATCCATAATACATAGGAAATGGAAGRMAATGCCTTTTTCTTCTGTCATCCTTCTGTTTGATTAAATGCTCATCCTTCAATTTCAAATGGATATCTTGTTTCTCTGTTCTACTTGGGGAAGAGATACAAAGTGATAACCAAGAAATTATCGTGTTGTAAATTATTTTATYGGGGAAGACAGAGACCCAAGTGATCAAGTCTCTCCGTCTGTGGCACTCTCAGTCTCATCTCATAGCTATATTTCTTCGTCTATGGGTTTTCTTTTTGCATTCCCTTTGAGCACGGAAATGTATAGCGTACAAAGGAAGGAGGTTGCTTTAATGTGCCATTGCTTCCCGTCGGTTCTTTTCTTGACGTTTCGAACCAGTAGAAAAGCCAACGATTTCTTCGTGGACTTTTCCTAYGTCCATTGTTTGATTTGATTGGATATTACATAGTGGTGGTGAGTGTGAAGACTGGTCTTACTAGTCAACGGAGAAGGTGAGTAGGAAACTTACTCAACCTGCTAGGATGCTAGCCCGGTGACTCCGAAGTCTGAACTACAACGAATGAGAATGAGAGAGCCCGCTGATTGGATCACCGCTCTTAAAGCGGAACCCAATACTCATCACTCCTTCACAAGTCTTTGGTTCTCTCCAAGTCAACTGACGTGGCAACCAAGAAATTAGTTTCCATTGAGCGATGGGATGCAAGTGTCAGGACCTCTCTTCTCTGATAAAGTGCATATAAATAGAGAAGAGGGAACATACGACGGGGTTGGGTAGAAAGATCGGGACTCTGTTAGGTGGGTCTTTGTGGTTGTCATTCGTCTAGTACTGTGAGATGGACACCCATGGCTTTGTTGTTGGTGGTGTTTACTCCTTCCTCTTCCTTGTGTCATTTCACTTGGCTCTTCATTCAGCTGATGACAACTTGGAACAGTCGTGTCTTCCATTCGACTGTGGGAACAGTGTCTTCTCCAACGCTATCCACCCGGATTGCGGACTGATGAGCACCATACATATAGAATGTCCAGATGGCAGACCCACGATCCTATTAGGCTTCTGCGAAGGAGCAAGATCTTACCAAGTTCAATCCATTTTTGGTGATAATAACACAATTGTGATACGTGATTCCTCACTCCATCGCAGCTTGGAATCTGGCTTCTGTGATGACATAAAGAATTTCTCATCATCCACTTTCAATTCTCTCTCCTTTAGAGTAATTTCTCCCAATATTACTTTGTTCAGTTGCAAACGTGAAGATCATCATGATCAGTTTCAGTCCCCACATCTCCCTGGGTTTCATCAGTACCCACATTGCCGAGACCATGATCTATTCTTCGGAAATTACAAATCGGAAGAGAGTCTGCAGTCTATTCGAGATAGATGTTCGGTCTACCAAATTCCAGTGCGTGAACGACTGGATGGGGATGACCTGCTCCTGCCTCACTTGGAGGCCGGGTTTTCTCTTCAATGGGAATTCCCCCCGCAATGTAACAAGTGTGACAGGAAAGAACTCCGTTGTGTTAGACAACATCAAAATGGAACCTTGACATGTCCAAGTTCAACTACAGGTACAAAACATACAACTTGGAATTTGGGAACAAAAATTTACTTTCTTCATCTTTTTCACTTTGCTTTCTACGTAAATATGTTTTTCATCACCCATTCTGGATTATCAGATCCCTAATTCTACGTGCTTCTAGAATCTTGTCACTCGCTTTTGTTACAGGGTGGTCTCTGGTCAATTGGTCATATCATATCATATCTAGACCGGCCTGCCTATCTATTTACTTCTAAGAGGAATTTATAATTTTTTTTTTCTTTTTATACTTGTATCCAATGCATCTAATACTGAGTTGCTGTTCTTTTTTTTTCTTTCTTCAGACAAGAAAAGATGGGTGAAGGTTGCACTAGGTATTAGCTCCGGCGTTATAGCGGGGGCCTTCCTTGTAATATGCATCGTCCTTTGCCGGAAGAAACTTAAGTTTGGCCTAGTCAAAAGAAAAGATATTTCCACACCTTCAACTACCGTCTCTTCTAATCCATCGTCGAGGACCAAGGACCTCGAGAAAGGAAGCATCTTCATGGGAGTCTCCATCCCCATCTTCACCTACGAGGTACTTGAGGAAGCCACCAACAATTTCGATGCCTCTAAAGAACTTGGCGATGGTGGCTTTGGTACTGTTTACCATGGTAAGTTCCACTTATGGCTGCAACAAGAAGACGAATTGGAAAGGATAAAAAGATAACGATTAAGGAATACTAAGTTACATTGATAGCTGTTGTTTGATTTCCTTAACCAGGAAAGCTCCGGGATGGACGTGATGTTGCAGTCAAACGCCTCTACGAGAACAACTACAGGCGTGTTGAGCAATTCATGAATGAGATCGAGATCCTCACCCGCTTGCGCCACAAGAACCTGGTCACCCTCTACGGATGCACCTCACGACGCAGCCGTGAACTCATCCTTGTATACGAATACATTCCCAATGGCACCGTTGCCGATCATCTCCATGGCGATAGAGCAAAAGCCGGTGGACTGCCATGGTCTATCCGAATGAGCATTGCCTTAGAGACCGCCGGTGCGCTGACCTACCTCCATGCTTCCGACATCATTCACCGTGATGTCAAAACCAACAACATTCTGCTCGACAACAATTTCAGTGTTAAAGTCGCAGATTTTGGACTATCTCGTCTCTTCCCCACAGACGCAACCCACGTCTCGACCGCACCACAAGGGACTCCCGGCTATGTCGACCCCGAGTATCACCAGTGCTACCAGCTTACTGGCAAGAGTGACGTGTATAGCTTTGGTGTCGTCCTGATTGAGCTCATATCATCAAAGCCGGCAGTAGATATCAGTAGGCATCGACACGAGATTAATTTGGCCACCATGGCCATGAACAAGATCCAAAACCGGGCGTTGCACGAGCTGGTTGACCCTGATTTGAATTTCGAATCAGATAGTGCAGTAAGGAGAATGGTGACAGGGATGGCAGAGTTGGCATTCCGGTGCTTGCAATATGACAGAGAGATGAGACCTACAATGGATGAAGCATTGGAGATTCTGAACGCAATTGGGAATGAGGATTACAATGTGACGAAGACAGAGGAAGTGGACACCCAATCAGATCAGGTGGGCCTGTTAAAAAATAACAAACGGCCACCGACGTCCCCAGTCACAGTGACCTATCCATGGTCCAGTGAGAAAACTACACCCAATACCAGTAGTTAGGTTTTCCATGTCAATTGATATCTACTCTCTTTTGCAGGTAGATGATAAACATTGTGTTCCAGCACTCCCAATCAGATGAAACTTAGTGGGTTGCAGCTTCATTTTCTTTTCATCTACTTGATTTTGCCGTGTTGTTATGTCACCATTGTATTAGCTATAAGGTTGAATGGCCATGTACATAATGAAAAGAATTGTATTTTGCTGCCTTTATCAAGTTGATGTTCATATCCGAGATCAGGTTGTTTGCTTGGCTCTCTTTTATTATTAGTCAACTAGATATTCAAGGCTGTTTGATTAATTAACTCTCATTTATTAATTAGCATTCTGCTGCCATTGCTGGATATGCTAACCAGCCGATCATAGATGATTCATCAATCAATCAATTTTTTTTTTTTTTTTGAAAGGCCTAAGCCAAAAATCATTCAATAACAAGCAATCATTCAATTGGGAATCCTGTTGAAATTATGGGAAACCATTAAATTATCAGCGTTCACATCCCATAATTTCAATAAAAAAGAGAAAAAGAGAGGGCTAGTCCTAGCCACGCGGTGCTATGAAAGGTGATCGTGTGGGTGTGACTAAGTTTGCACTTTTTTTAGTTTCAAGTTGGTAAAGTAATAGATCGTTTGACAAGTCTTTTTTGAAAAATCTTCTGAAAGTTCTAACAAAAAATGATGTGGGCTTTTGTATCAAGATCTTAACAGTTTAAAGATCATTTAGTTAAAACGCATTCATCTATTTAGCACGAAGATGAATTGAAAAAAAAGTAAAAAACTTCATTTATAATTTCCCAAAATTAGTTTAAAATGGATTTTCCACGTTTTTTTGACTAATAGATCTTTTCCCAACTAAGGGAAAAGACAAAAAAAAAAAAAAAAAACACGCTAAATAACGCAAAGGTGAAGCGGGAAATTGAATTGGGTTTAGGTGACCTGAGATACACGACGGGAGACGGGACTTGACTAGCTAGCAAGCCCATCCCCCATTATATTTGAGGTTTTAACGTCGATATCATTTACCTACCCTTTGCTGAATATAACGACAGAAATTGCTATTTAAAAGAGATGTCCTTATTTTCTTGACTAACCCCTGTGGAAAAGCATTAATTTCTTTGATCATGGTCAATAACTAATTGCTTGTACAAAAAGGAGTAAGTGACAGGCAATTGCTTGACTTTAACATTAAGGTCCCCTTTTGGCAATTGTTTGATTAAACTACTTAAATATAGCTATGGTTTGATTAAACTTATTAAGGTGCCAGTTCGGCAAGATTTCCCAACAGCCTAAATGGTCAAATAATGTAATGGGCTTCGGGGTCTTGTCTTTAAAAATTTAGACCATTTGGTAAGTATTCCAGTCCATCTGTAGAGCTGTTTAATTAAATATTTTAAGTGTAGAAAGACAAGACATTTGATTTGAAGCTTCCATATTTTTTGTCATTTTATGCTTTTATGAGATTTTTAGGGTATAGGACTTTCATTGCCAAACAAGGAAAGATCACATTTTATTTTTCTAAGCTTTAAAAATCCCAAAAGATCACACAAGAAGACTTGCCAAACACCTCCTAAACTTAACTTATGGAATGGATCTATTTGGCACAAATAGCACGTCATATACTAAAATTTCATGCTAAGTTGCTAATTACTTCACCCTTAAAATAAATATCCCATTCAATTCAATTCAATTTTCCTTTAGATATTGATTATTTTGTCTTTGCTCTATCGAAAAGCTTCAAATAGATTCAGTTCAGATTAGGAGATCCAATCCAAGTATCCAACATTTTGGTGAAAAGGAAAACAAACTCCGGTTGGAGGCCTTATCAGAGAATGATGCATACTTGAAAGACAACTTGATGGAGACTTCACCTTATGTTTAAACAAGATAATTCGTCTTTGGGTTCTTATCATTAATGGAGTAAAAAACTGAGCCATATTTGTATTTGTAAGGTTTTATATTCTACATATTTGTATTTATACTCCTTCCAAACTGAACCATAAAAACAATAGATAAGGCAAATAGAGCCATAAAAACCATAGATTGGGCAAATAGAGCCCTCGCTTTGATAAAAAACCCCTAACCTGATAGAAAGAAATATGGAGATATATAGCAAGACAGTGAGAAGAGAACTTACTGAAGTGACCAAATTTGGTCAAAAAATTGTTTTTCTCCCATTTACTGTTTGTGCAATTATTTATTTTCAAAGTCAAATGATCAAATTTGGTCATTTAATATGTAAAAAGTAAAAAATAATTAGATTATATTATTGGATCATATCAGATTATATAGGGGTGGGTCTATATTTTATAAATGGATTGAATTGACCATCCTTAACTTGATAGAATTCGAATCAAATTCAGACAAATGGATATTGAGTTCAAACTGCACCACCACCATGAAATGCACCTCAAACTGTAAAACTTGCAATATGAGTTCTAATGTTGCATATTACATGTTTATAGAGTTCAACTACATATTAAGTCAAACAAAACAAATGGAGTGTGGGTAGATGTTCCCATTCCCCAAGTTGAAATGCATCAAATTTCCTCCATTGCCACAAAACTGAAAATTGCCATCTTGTGAAGTTTGTCTTCATTTGGTAACAATTAACCATTGATTTATAAAACAACGGAAAAGAGACAAGAGGCGAAGTACATTACAATTTGTCCCTATTGGCTTTTTGAGCTTGCACTGTTGAAAGTAGAAATCCTCTGGTGTTTGGTTAGCCACTTGTAATGACTTATTCCTGGCTAGATTATTGCTACCTCTCCCTTGCTTAGATTTGGACTTCTCACTTGGTAGCCACATGGTAGACTGTGACCAATCCTAATTCTATTAGTACTGTTGATGGAGTTTTTTCCCCATGCATCGATCGAGCATTAAAGCACAGGATAATAATTTTAATGGAAGGTCATCAAGACCCACCACCCAATGGATGGATCCACCTACAATTCGCAAATCGTTTAGCTATGTTTGGTTTGAAGCAAAAAGTAGGGAAAGGTATGAAAACCTATACAATGTTTGTGAAGGATTCCTTGCCTTTTCTTACTTTTTCCTTCAAACCAAACATAACCACCTTAGAGAAATTTAAACTCAATCTGATTGGATCCAATAACAGCGCTGCTAGTTTAATGTAACCACCATTAATTTTGTACAATGGAAAAGGAATTTATTACAAATATGGCTAAGCACAATACATATCATCATGTTTTAGGTTGGGACGACCCAAATGGTCTATGGCAATATGCTAAATCAATGGTTCAGGGCTGGAATGCAAAATTTTGGATCACTTTGAATGCTCTGGTGCTGCTTGAATCCCAATGATGAATTCACACTAAATTGTGGCATGTGACGGAGCTATTTGATTAACATGCAGTTATTTCATTTTCCCTTGTAAAGATTAATTATCAAGGCTTCGAAAGAGAGCAGCTCACTTGTCCAAGATGCCAAAGTAAGACCATAATCAACTGGGCTGTATGTAATTGATGTCATGATGTGTCATCACTTCTATTACTAATTCTTTCTTTCTTATGAAGGAAGATAGTGAAGTTATTGTGCAATTATCTATGCCACTAGTCTGGGACAATAGAACAAAATTAACAGCCGAACTAAAACCATAAATTTAATCTTCTATGCGGAACAAAACAAAAGTAGTCAAGCTTAATTATTATTACGACTTGGTTTCTTTGGTTTGTTACAAAAAAAAAAAAATCACTTTTTAGAATTTTAGGGTGCAACCTTCACCAATCAGTATCTTAGAGAGAGAGAGAGAGAGAGATTGTCTCAAATAGGGTAAGTAAATGGGTAGGTTCTACCCAGAACCAAATGGAAGTGACTCTGAACTGACCTTATTCAATCTGTTACCGGGTAGGGTCTATTTTCAAATTCTTGAAATTAACCCCTATAGGTTTTTATTCAAGGGTCTAGGGGCTTATCTCACCTGAACTGACCCAAAGAACCAGCCTTGCTTGACCTTGGTGGAATCAGCTTTGGAACCAAACTTACCTTGTCAAGATCTGAACCCAAGCACTCATGATTATAAGAGTTATGGTTCATTTGGCAATTGAATCATTTAAGTGATTTAATCATTTTTCTTCAATTTAATATTTGAATGTGTATAATAAGCAATGTAAAAGATAATATTTACAAAACTTAAATTATAATGAAAAATTTGAACTATATTATTATTATTATTATTATTGTTTGGGAGGGGGGAGGGAATAAATAAAGAACAGGTTCAAAACCTTTTAATAATGAGGTAACAGCTATCTAATGCTCATTAGCTCCTCCACATGAGGTTGAGGCGCATGCATGCGGGAGGACACACACGTCTTTTAATGGTGGGGACGTTTTAGGGGTGCAAATCGGTGGGGGCATTCGAACTCTACAATGTGAATCATCCACTGAATCTGGATGTAGTCCCAATAACACAGGATCATAACAACCAGTTCCAAGTCCAACAGCCATTACCAGCCAGCTGTACACGGGAAACATATGCCATGAAAGACAAAGGAAATGTTCCCAATGTACGGCTGCAATGACCATTGGGACCGATTGTTGGGACCCTGTATTGTGTCTACATCCGAATCCATTTTCACTGGCCTCTTTGGCAGTAGTATTTGGCAACATGATTAGGAAAATATATAAAGAAAAATTTTAGTATCTGTATTTTTTCAATTTACACAACTTATAACACATTATTTATTGGATCTTTTCCAATTAATATTGAAATTAGGAAAAATTAGTTTGGCCACTCTGCAAATAGGCAAAGGCTACGAGTTTAATTTGACTGTTTAAGTTGCTATACTTACATAGTTCTATGATATCTAAAAATTATAATGTTTAATATAAATAAAATATTATTTATTACATAGTCAGTTCTATGATATCTTTTCCAACAAATCCTACATTTGTGGGCTCACCAAGTTGGACTTAACTTCATGATGTTTTCCTTGTTGTTAGGTAGGACCGTGTCATCCGAATGGTTGAACCAATGATGAATCCAGTCCAAGTTTTAAACCATTTGGTTTCAACGTGGCATGATTATACACTGCTATGCAGCTAATCCGGGCTCTGATTACTTTCATTCTTGTAGTTGAGGTTATTTGTCTACCCCAAACATAACGATTTGATATTCTGAGTCCTACGTATGAGCCAAATCCTTTTCATAAATCCAATATAAAATGCAAAACCGTTAACCATCACTCTCTCCCGGCTCCAGAGTCCAACACAATACCTCTATCTCGGGCTTCTCTTCAGTCCTCCCCACTCTCCAAAGCGATATTCTCCAATCTCCACCACCATACAAAAAAGACATTAATTGTTTAGAGATGGATTTTGAACAG